CAGCAGGACCAGGTCATCAGTGTAGAGCAGGAACTTGAGTAAGAACTCTACCTAGTAAGAATTTGGCTTGCATTTAAAATGTAGCTATTTTAGCATTTACGTCTTGGTTTCAATATCACAAAATCTACAACTGTCATCATTGGTGTTTCCCTGATGTTATTAATCTCTGACCTACATGACTCCTCCTCTTACAAAATGTGTTTATTATAATGTTATAGAGCATTTACTACAATGTAATGTCAGCTATTTTCATCCAACTCGGCAGACTGTTTCCAAGACTATTGGAGCTATTTGGAATGAAAGGGATCTTGCACTCAATTCTGAAATTCATGTGGGACTTCAGACTGAACACAAGGCCTGCTGCAGACGATACAGAGCACAAAGAAACAACGTTTGAAATCCTTTCTCGATCAACGTTCAGTTTCACATGTTGGTGGCTCATGTGGGGGATGTTTCCTGACTCAAACAGAGCCTGGAGTGTCACGGAATTTCAGTCCCTCTCTCTCCTGATCTTAACAGTCTCTGTCATCAGCAGACGGGCTGACATCACCGGATGAGTCAGGTTTGCGCAGGAGGTTTTAGAGAAACCATCGGAAGAGCTTGGTGGATCTCCGTGTTTCCAGTCCTCCTGAAGGGCTGCGTGCAAAAACAGTGCAAACTTCCGAGGATGGACAAGGAGTCATGCAGAGTGGGAAATGGATGAGAAATATTGAATCACGTCGGAGAGGAGGGCAGTGAAGAGGCACATCATTACACTGAGCTTGACTTTTAGGCCTACGTCCTGCCCGTCAAAGTGGGTGACAGAAGACAGAACAAGACACAAGGAGCTGGGGGAACTCGCAGATCCTACAGCCGCATGTTTGTAATGGAGTTCATGAATGAAAAGATTTGATCAGTGACCCAGGAGTGTGCGTTCAGCAGTGAGGAGAGCTGGTGGGACTTTAAAGACCACAGAGGTGACAACATCGTCTTTCCCCATGAGTCACGGCAAGCATGGTGTGACGCAGGCAGGGGCCGGGCAAACCGTGACTGCCCCAGAGGGCAGGAGTGTCCACAGGCGTGGTGACAGGAGGACAGCTTCCTGCTGGACAAGTGCACTCAATCACCTCTGACCTCACGGGTCACTGCCGCCTAGTGTCTCTCTCGCAATGTACACACACATCCCATTTCAAACACCAGACCAAACTGCAGTACAAGCAATGGATTACAGATCATACTGGGACTGAGAATGAGACTGGAACTGAGACTGGGAATGAGACTAGGATGGGGAGTGTAACTGAGACTGGGACGGGAATTGGGACTGCAACAGAGACTGGGACTGGGAAAGAGACTGGGACTGAGATCAGAGCTGGGGCTGGAAAGGTGGAGGTGTAGTTGAGGCTGCCTCTCCCCTGCTGCAGCTCATCGGTCCTCACCCCAGCGAGCTGCCTGCCTCTGCCGAAGGCGCCGTGATCTATCCCTCTCCTGGGTTGGGCCGAGCGAGCGTGTCGGGCGCGGGGTACTGCCGGGAGTCACGATCTCGGGGCCTCGTCTCTTCTCTTCAGCTGAGCCAGAGCCCCAGCAGGGGAATTTTCTGACTGGTGTCGGTGCTCAGAATAACAATGCAAATAAAGCTAAAAATAGCCCTGACAGCCGCTCTCCCGGCCTCCATGAGCTTTGTGGTGGGGCTGGTTTCCGTTCCTGAGATGAGTCGGCTATTATTCTTTAAAATGAAAAACTACAAAGGTAACTAGAAACCCTGGGGAAATTCCTGTGCTCGCTGGGTGCTGTTTTTCTCCAGTTACCCTGTGGCAGCTACACAAAACCTCTGTCCCCCATGAAACACCAGGTCTCAGCCTTGGCTTTATTGCAGCAGGCTTTATTTCCTACAGGCGTACATCATCACAGAAAGAGCACAGTGCAGCAGAGCTCGAGAGCCAGGGCACTGCCTCGGATCTGCGCACTGTGGAAGACACAGCATGGCACAGGCTGACACAGCTGCCAGGGCCAAAGAACTCCACTCGAACAGAGAGGTACAGCAGCATGTAAGGACACCAAGAACAAGACAAGTCACATAAAACCAAACATTCTGGGAACATCAGAACAGCCCAGTGGCTGATGCGCCACTAGCACAGAGACAGGTAGAGGGGTGACCCCAAGGTCACCAAACTCCCCTCCACCACAGTGCACAAGCCCAGCCAGTGCCAGGACCACCACCACACTGATGGTCAATTAAATACTTCTAGAGCCGGCTAGAGCAAAATTCTGCAGCAGAGCAGACCAGAGAGGCTACAGGCTAAGCATCTGTGCCGCACTGCAGAGCGGTGAAGTTCACTCCTGGGGTTAGCCCGGACCTTCCGGACATGATCTGAATCAGCTGTTGACTTAGACGGCTTGTGTCCCACTCTGTCCAGACCGTTACTCATTAAGGACTGGACCAGGAATGAATACCACAGTTCTCCCAGAACTGGCACAGATTCAGTCCAGGGTTTTCATTCTAGAGCTCTTGAATACAACATTGAACAAATTCCTTGGTTAATTGAAGTTCCTGATGATTTTCAGTGGCCTACAGAACAAGCTGGGCTGTAGCCCCTCTGGGCTGGAGCTGTTCCAGCACTGTGCAACTAGAACGATATTAATTCATTCCAACCTTTCATTTCCACCATTTAAATTGAAGTGAGACACATGGTGCATGATGGGGAGTAGAACTTGACCCCGCTAAATACAATTCAAAAAGCTGCACAGAAATACCGATAACTTAAATCTCAGACTGACACTAGTGTACAGAACAGGTTAACACAACCCCTGTACAGAACAGGAGAACACAACCCAGGTACAGAACAGGTGAACACAACCCAGGTACAGAACAGGAGAACACAACCCCGGTATACAACAGGTGAAAACAACCCCTGTAC